AATATATATATATATATATATATATATATATATTTGTTACTGAGAAAAATTTTTGTTACCATCCATAAAAGTGAAAATATCGATAATTTCAAAGACCGTAACAGTTTTTCTTCAAAATTCAATCTATGCACTTAACAATGAGGTGAAGTTGATAACTGATAGGTAAGAATACCCATAATTTTAAATGTTACCGGAAGATTAAGCATTGAACGACTAGGACGAAATAAAAGGTGGATAAGAAAATGAGGTAGAAATCGGTTTGAATAATTGTTGCAACCGGTTATAAGCTGCATTATCATTAGAAAATCCAGTTTGCAATCAAGTCAAAATTATACATCTTTCCGTTGTTAAAAACTGTAGAAATATTTAGGGGAAGATTGAAATGTTTGTAATCAACAAAAAAAAAAAAAAAAAAAAAAAAACTGATTAGAAATGATTATTTTAATCGGAAAATATTAATTTATTTTTTCAGCATAAAAAAATTTTTTTTTAAACTAATTTTTTTTATTTAAAATATATTTTGTTTTTTTAACTTTTGGTAAGGGCATATTTTTAACACTTGAAGACGAGAACAAAAATTACAGAAACGACTAAACGAAAAAAACATAAATCAAGGATGAAAATTTTAATTTAAATTTAAATTAAAACTTTTAAATTACTTTTATGCATTAAAAAAATAAAATGTGTTTATGATTAAAATGCTAATATTTTTTTATGCTGATAAAAAAAAAAATCAATTAACTTCGTTTTTTTCGACAAAAGATCATTCATTAATCTGTTAATTATTGAAGTTTTTTCTTACGTTTTTGTTTTATTTTATCTTTTTATAATTGGAAAAATTAATTTTTGAAAATTTTAACAATTTGGCAGAAGAAAAAATGGTGCGAAAAAAAGTTTAGAAAAAAAAAGGGAAATAAATAAAATTAATAGTGAATTTTTAATTTTTCTTTTGTTTCTTTTTTTTTTTAAAAAAAAAAGAAAGGGAAAACAAATTATTTTATTGATATTTTTTTCATAGCTAAAACAAATTTTTTCTTTTTAAGGAAAACAAAAAAAGCAAAGTAAAAAAAAAAAAAAATATGCGATTTTTGTAAAATTTCAACACTTTTGATATTAATTCTTTTTATCATTTAATTATTTAAGTAATTAATTATTTCAGGTTTATCAGTGGTGGATTTTTTAGTCATTATGCATTTACCATTTTTTAATCATTGATTTATTGCATGGACAATGGCTATTTGGTAAAGTAATGTGTAAATTTTATTGGTTTGGTGAAAGTGTTAATAAATTATTAAGCAGTTTTATTATGACTGTTCTTGGTTGGGATCGATATTTGGCTGTATGCTCACCAATTAAATCAATCAGGTTTAATAATTTATCATTGATTTATTGCATGGATGCATAAACAATTAGATAAAATAAACAAAAAAAAAAAATATTTTGCTTTTTAATAATATATTATATTCTAAATAATTTTATTAATTACTATTAATTGCTGGATAAAATTGTCAAAGATTTTAATTGCTAAAAAAAAAAAAAAAGCAACAGAAAGAAAATATTTCATCAATTTTTTTTTTATTGTATTTTTGTAAAAATTTTATTGATGGGAGTGAAAAAATTGTAATGAATTTTTGTTTTTCCTCCAAATTTTCACTTCGAAATAAAAATATGCCAAATAAATTAAAATGATAAAATTTATTTGGATGGATTTTCTTTTTTCCTTAATAAATGACATTATTAGCTTGTATTAATTAGCATCAAAAACAATAATAATTGTAAAAATTTGTTGTTATTTGTCTAAATGAAAAAAAATTTTTTTTAAAAGAACAGAAAAAATTTATTTGGATGCGTTCACTTTTCCTTAATGATTGAAATTATTAAATTGTATTAATTAATAATTCAAAGCTTTTTTTTCTCTTTATTTATTTATTTATTTTTTTAAAGTATGATTATTATTGTTTTAGAATGCGACAAACAATGGTAGCATGTATAGTGTTATTGTTATGTTCAGCATTAGCTGTAATACTTTTATTACCTGTTGTTATAAATGCAACCGTTGTACATGTTGATGTTCAAACAGGTAATCTAATAATCGATAATCAAAATGATACTTTTCATTTAGGTTTGTTTTTTTGTTTTATCATTTATTTTTCTTCAACATTTCAATCATTTTTATTTCTATTATATTATAAAAATAATAAATGATAGGAAGGGATAAAGTTGAATTTTTTTTTTGAATTTTAAATTTTTTGAAATATTTGAAATTTAAACTTTAAATAATAATATTTCTAGATCATCATCATATAACACAAACAAAATGTATATTTGAAGAAAGCAATCCAACATTTATGTATTATACATTTGCGTGTGGTTTCTTATTACCTGCTCTTTTAATTACCTATTTTTACCTAAATGTAAATAGGTTATTGGATTTCTTTTAATTTCCTTATTATTGTTTTTTTTCTTTTTGTCTCTTTTGATTAATTTATTAAATTAGAGCTGATATTCCAAATCATAATATCGATATCTTTCTTTTTTTTTTTTTTAATGTGATATAGTAATAACATCTATTGATTATGCTAATTTTTTTTTCCTTTTTTTTTTGAAGGTAATTATACGGTTACGTAAAAGTACCGCAAATGTTCATCGGCATACTTTTTTAGCGAAACAGCAGAATGCAAATGTAAGGATAAGGCAGGTACATTTTAAATTTTAAATCAAATTCTTCTTTTTTTTTACATTATTTTAATTTTTAACAGAAATTTTGCAAAATATTACCCTTTGGTTTGATTAAAAAAAGGATGAAATTTGAAATTATAAAGAAAAAAATTTCTCCAGTTTTAATTAAATTTATTAGTATAGTGATAATAATGATAACAATGGGAGATGATAAATGAATGTATGATCAATTTCAAACAATTAAATTCAATGATATTACAAAAATTTCAAAATATGCATAATTTTTCGATTGCTAATTACCGATGAATTTGGAGGATTTAAATTGATAAATTTGAAAATTATCAATTATTTCAATTAAAAATGAAGTTTACAGGTAACGAAACGAGTTATTGCCATGATTTTATTTTATTTTTTTTGTTGGATGCCACATTGGGTATTGAATTTACTGGCTCATTTCGAACTTATTGCTGTAAGTTCTTCCTTTTCCTTCATTTTTCTATTTCTTATTTGTAAAAAATCATCCCATAAACACTATGTTATCATAAATAAATGATAATAAATTGAAGAAGTGTCACCTTTATCAGTTCACTTATCTTACATATAATCATATTGAAATTAAAAGGGGGAAAACAAAGCATATTTCAAAAAATATTTCAAAAAAATAAGGGCATATTTCATATTTCAAAAAAAAAGGTCTTTGATTTGCTTACTATTTTATGATATGTTATCATCCGTTTTTATACATTATCATCAACATTTCCATCTTATCTTTTTATCTAATTAGCAAAATAAAAAAGAAAAAAAGAAAAATTGACCATATGAAAAAAATAATAGTAATAATAAACAATACCTTTAATAGGTATCCTGGTCAACCTTAACATTATCGTCAACATTTTTTGTGGCCCATTTATTGGTATGTTTTAATTCGGCCGTAAATCCAATCTTATATGCGCTTATCAATCGAGAATTACGACAGCAACATACAAAAGCATTAATTAAACGTTGTCGTTCATTATCAAATGCTACCAGTACCGCTCTTGATGCTCTTATTAAGCATTCTCATCAGTAGATGGAATCACTCGTCCATTGCTATTGAATATATCATCCATTAATTCCTTTTAAAAAAAAAAAAAAANAAAAAAAAAAGTTTTAGCTACACCCAAAGATTGTTCGATTTTTCTTTTCTTTTTAATTTATGATATATCCGTCTAAACGATTGAACTATGACCTTATTAATCTTTTATGCTAAATTATTAGCATATAGCTCTTCTTTTTTTTGACATTCAAATTTTATTTTTAGTAAAAATTTACCTATTTAATTTATTTATTAACAATTGAATTGGATGCCATAAATGAGTCATTAT